TAGGTTGCACAAAAATTCAAAATGTTTCTTCAGAATTTTCCACAGTGCAAAAGAACTGAGATTTAATAGAAAATTCTTTCTCATAGTTTTTTGACCATACTGTTAATCTCTATAGTAGAGGTGTGATTTTCTGTTGAAGGTTCAGAAAAGCTAGAAAAATATAATTGTTTCCTGTGGGATTTTTTTCATAGCAGAATGTAGAGTTTTTTATTGTCTGTCGGTTTCCATGTATTTGAGATTCCGTTTTATTTGACTGAATCACTAGGAATGAAAGCCATGGGTTGGGAGGCTGGAAGACAGACACAGTAACATTGCATTTCTATCTTTCATCTGAAGATCTGAAGGCATTCTTACAAACTATTATTACCTATTTATTTTATAGATAAAATCTCACAATACTGCTTTGAAAAAGGGATGAATTTGGCAGAGGAAAATTGGGGCATAGAGCGGCTAACTGACTTCACACAGGAGAGGAAAATGGGCTAGAAGTACAGATTCCTATTTACTGCTCTGTTTGCTGCTGTAGAGCCATGTGTCTGAAACTGCATCTAGATTCATAAACAAAATATTGTGGGGTTTTTTTTCCTAGTCTGGTAGTCCAGAAACAAAAGGTTGCAACAGTAACTTTGTAATGAATGATACTACCTTTGCAGTTCCCTGAATTGAATATGTGAGGAAAGAGAAAAAAAGGGGAGTGGACAAGAAAGGGAAAGGGATGAGACCCTTTGTCAAATTAAGAAATGGAGTTTTCTGTAAGGTGTGGTAAGTTTCTTGTATGTCTACACCTCTAGGAATTTGAGTGATTGTCAAAAAACAACAAGTTTGCAGCTCTTGACAAAAAAGTCCCCTTTTTAACTTTGTAAGAGGCCAAAATAGAGAAAAAGTTTTCCTCCAGTTTGTATGCCACTCACTGCTAACCTCCAGGGAGCACTCCAGGGTGAGGACATCATAAACAGAGCTGTGTGGTCTTCAGTTCAGATTTTTTGGCCACAGGTGTGTCAGTAACAGTCAGGGTTGTGGTTATTGCTGTGAAAACACCTATTTAGCAGGAACTGGATAGAAACCAGCAACTCATTTTGCCTTTACATTTCTGAGCAGTCAGAAATGGCTTCCCAGCCATTACTGTTCTAGCCAGCTCTGTGAAAGCAATCTGGATGTGTAAATCTTTATATCTTATTTTCAGTCCCAGATATTTTGGTAGATTGTCAAGCTCTAATTAAGTATGTGAAGTGGGAACACTGCTAATACTTTTCTTCATGAACACACAGAAGAAAAATCATTGTCTGTTCTAACTCCAGCAGGACCACAGATGATTTTCTGCTTTTACCCTGTTGTCTTTTATTGTCTGTTTTTTTACCATAGCACTTGACTTCTGAATTCCTAAAGGTTGATGTTTCCTTTTCATGCCTAGACAGAAGCCCTCTACTTACACAACCTATCTGTGACTTTGTAGTGAATAATGGTTTTGTTAGGATATATTTTTGTCTTTTAATTTCCCTCAGTGAAGCTGCACATATACATATTTCTTCACTCTTTACTTTACTCCTTACATTTTATTTCCTGATGCCTCTTTCTTTCTATTTTCAATGTTATTCTATTCCACAGTGGAACAAGAGCCTCCATTTGCTTCTGCCCTATACTCTGTTTTCCATCTGTATTCCTCCTCAGTGTTCCTCTTCCGCCTTCTACTTCCTTTTCCAGTTACTATTCCTTCTTCATTGTCTCTTCTTGTCACTTCTAATTTTTCACTCTCTCCCTTTTGCTTCTTTTTATTCTGTCCCTTTTAGCTGAAGTCTTCATTTGCTGTTCCACCCTCATCCTTTCTTCCCTTCATGATGTCTAATAACCTTGAAGTCGACAGTTCTTTCTTCTTTCTTCCTCTTTGTTGTTTCTTTCCATTATCTCCTCTTTCATCACCCTTCTTGTCCTCCTTCTCTTTTCTCTCATCTGATTCTATTTTTTCCATAGTGCTTTGCTTGTGGTCCTCTCACATTTCTGAGATGACTGGCTACACATTGCATCCTCATGTCAGGGGAGAAAACGCTGTGTGTTGTGAAAACTTAGCATAGAATTTCTTGGCTGCCAACACACAATGAGTCATTTTAAATATCTTAAACCCTTTTATTTTTGTTAAAGCCCTTGTAAGCCTTATCACGGCTTCAAAAGGAGCAGACCCACACTAGCACTTGGTACTTCTGAAAATCACACTCAGAGCTCAAGTTGAAGCTCCTGAATTGGTTCAAGAAACAACATAAACTCTGTGGGACAGGCATGGAGATAATTAATATTTCAGTGGATCTTCAGTCTATGGTTGTATGTTCAAGGCTAAACCTATGTTTTAGTCATCACAAATATACCTCCAAAAGATTGTGAAGTTAGACGTTTATAAATATCAAAGGCTCATAAAGATTTGTAAGCTAAAAATAAAAAGTGAAATTTAGATTCACATGTTAATTATTTCCCGGTGTTCAGCCTAGCTAAAAGGAGTACTTAATCACACAAATTTAGTTTTAGGAAAAGTGCTAAATACTGCTTTTTCATATGTAAAAGTGCAGGTTGGAGACTGGAAAGAAGGGTAGAATGGAAGGATTCGTTGTTTCCGCTTTCACTCTACAGTCTCTCTAGCCATGAGGGAATGATGCCAGGCTTATGGAGCTAGTCCAGGCATGAGACTAAAATAATTTTGGCTCAAAGGCTTCATGGAGTAACTTCAGCCTCTTCTGTCTCTGCTGAGAGCTTGCTCTGTCTCTCTTGCTGTCTCTAGAAAACCCCAGCAACTGAATGGTTCTAAACTGGGTATGGCTGACTGTATACCCTTCTCCTTAGGTAAAATTTAATGAATGCCCTGACTTTCTGCATGTACAGTTTTTCTGTCTTTAGCTGCTGGTATCTGAATTGCATTCCTGCTTTTTTTTTTTGAACTATGTGGGGGTGAGAAAGAACATGGTATGTTTTTTAATTACACTGAAATCCATTTTCCTATAAGTCGTCTAAATGCATCATGTTGGCATTTAAAATATTGCTGTGCACTCAAATGCACAGATACACACGATGTGTTTAAGCTAATTATATTGCTTTAGAAAAAAAAAGAAAAATATTCCTGTGCCTTCAGTTACCACCTCTGCATGCTGCCAGTTCTGCTAGCAGTCAGGACTTCCCAGTTTCCCAGCAGCAAGTGCCATGACGTGCTGCCTGCTGTTCTCACATCTAGCACCAGCTTATACAGCCTAACATGCCAGTTGCCAAAGGCATGGTATGTGCCTAATGTGAACTAACTTCTGTGCAGTACTCAGGGGGTGCTCCGTTCGCAGAAGCTGCCAGGGGGAAGCTGTGAATCAACTCTCTCCCTGGGCACCTTGCCCACGCTTTCTCTCCTGCCAGCATCGCCTGGTTTGGAGGTAGCACCGGCCAGCTGCAGATCCCCTCCCTGCCGCAAAGAGCACTTCCTGGCACCAGGGATGAATCAGTTCCAACATATGCAAATTCAAATATTCATTTCCAAACACCTCAGCCTTTGACAAAAAAGCTTCATTTTTATAGTGAAGGATTAACATAAAATGATCGAGGCATGGAGAAAAATGCAGGAGAAGAAAGCCTTAAGAGAACATCCCCAACAACTAGGAGCAAAGCCATGTGAAGTCTCTGTCTCCTAATAAAACCATAGAATTATAGAATCGGCTAGGTTGGAAAAGACCTTTAAGATCATCATGTCCAATCATTACCCCAGGACTGCCAAGTCCACCACTAAACCATGTCACTGCAGGCCTCATCCACATGATTTCTGAACACTTCCAGAGATAGTGATTCTATCACTGCCATGGACAACCTGTCCCTTTTTGGTGAGAAAATTTTTCCAAATATCCAGTCTAAACCTCTCCCGGCTCAGCTTGAGGCCATTTCATCTTGTCCTATCACTTGTTACTTGGGAGAAGAGACCAATCCCCACCTCACTACAGCCTCCTGTCAGGTAGCTGTAGAGAGTGATAAGATCCCCCCTGAGCCTTCTCTTCTCTAGACTAAACCCCCTCAGGTTCCTCAGCCACTCCTCACAGGACTTTTGCTCTGGACCCTTCAACAGCTTTGTTGCCCTTCTCTGGACTCACTCCATCTTCTCAATATTACTCTTGTAATGGAGGGCTCAGAACTGAACACAGTATTAGAGGTGCGGCCTCATCAACGCTGAGTACAGGGGGATAATCACTGCCCTGGCCCTGCTGGCTACTCTGTTTCTGATATAAACCAGGATGCTGTTGGCCTTCTTGGCGGCCTGGGCTCATGTTCACAGTCCGCACACCAGCACCCCCAAGTCTTTCTGCCAAGCAGCTTTCCAGCCACTCTTCCCCAAGCCTGTAGCACTGGGATTGTTGTGGCCCAAGTAATAATAATAATAATAAAATGCTATTATAATATAATAATGCTATGCTGGGGGGGGGGGGGAAGGGAATTACACATGGGCTTTCTTCAGTAATTTTGAGTAGACACATTTGTTTCTGAAGAAGAATGTCCTGTTCCTGGGTTTCCTGGTTGGTCTGTCAGTATGGGAACCACAAGCCCCTTAGGAATATCTGCCACTCAGACACTGCACAGCAAGACTGGTCCCATCAGGATTTGAAAAACAGCTATTGACATGATTTTTCTTGTTCCCAGTGTGTGAAAATGGGTCCAAGAGGAACACTTGAGGACAGTGGCACAGGTATAGTGTTTTGGGTTCCTTCACCTTAAAAGCTTCTTTCTTAAGCGTGTATAACTGGCCTAACTTTTCTGTTTATGGTATAAGGGAAGTTTCAGCCAAAATTAAATTAAACTTAAGCCAAATGCTGAGTACTTTGAAAATGCAGTCTTTAAAGTAAGGATTTTTTCCTCTAATAAGATTTCCGTAGCCTATTGTTTGCCTTGAATACCATAAAATTATCAATAGCATAACAGCATCTTGAATTGTCCCTATGCTGTTGCTTCTCCCATGCTCTGGTCATACATCTGCTTCATCTGTCTTCTCCCAGGTGAAGCAATTTCCAGTGGGTCTGGTGGGCACAAGAGTATGACTTTGAATCTGTTACTTCCTGAGAATTTCCTGGAGGTTGGGAATGACTACAAAATCTATGAATCTGGAATATTCAAAATGGTCAGCACCTCCCCAAGAAACATTGGTAAAGTCTGTCAGATTAGGACTGCTAAAAGCAGAGGAAACATTAACAGTTCTCATATAGTCTGTGGCCTTAACAATCCAGGTTAATGTTTGGATAAATGGAGCAAACTCTCAAGGGTTTTGCTTTCCCAGACAGATGAAGCAGAGTTACTACTTTCTATTTTGGGGTGAAGAGTCAACAGCAAAAGAGTAAAATCCTTCAGTTTTAGTTTCATGAAAACAAGCAGCTTTTTTCCTTTAGGCCTAAAAACATTTGTCAGAAGACCAAGTGGGGAAATGTGAAAATACTGAGTGTGAATTATATCAGACTGTGAGAGGCAGTCTGGTCTAGTAAGAAGGCTAATGAACAGTACAGCTAAGGGAAATGCAGTTTTGTTGCTGATTTTCTGTGTGAGTTTATACCCGTCTTTGAAAACATGTCAGACTTGTTCTAACTGTTCCTGTGATTGACTTAAGATTCCTGCTCCATCGACCCTGACTATTAAGTATACTTAATCTACTGTTTACTTGAGCCCTGATTTACTGTTTACCTGCAGTGTTAAGCAAGATCTAATTAATACTAAAGGAAAAATTCCTAGTGTAGACTTAGTCATGAATCTGCCAGGAGGACAGGCTGGGCATGACCACAGCTATGCCCACCCATACAAGTACTCCATCCTACTGACTTGAGCTAGTCTCTATTGCTAACAGTGGTTAGACAAATCAGGCCTAATGAAGTAACACTTAGGAGAGTACAGTGTGTTTTGTATTCTTTGCCGCCCTCTGAGAACTACAAACATTAAGCTGCAAGTTTGCTTTGCTGCAAGACATTGCAGGATGGCTACGGGTCCGGGGCATTTGACATAAAAGGCTGAGAGAGCTGGTTTGTTCATTCTTATGAAGAACAGTCTAAGAACTCTTATTGCTGTCTACACAGGATGGTGAGGTGAAGCCATAGCTAAAGTTTTGTCAGAGCTGCACAGCTGAAGAATAAGAGAAAGGGGGACAAGGTTCAGCATGGGAAAGCCCAATTTATTATAAATGACAAAGAAAAAAAACCCCATAAGACTGGTCAAACACTGGAAGGGGTTGTGGGAACTCAAACCTTAGAGATACTAAAAAATTGACTGAACAAGGTCCTGAGCAACCTGTGCCAGCTGGACTTGGTCTGAGCAGGAATTTGGGTTAGGTAACATTTGGAAGGCCCTGTCTACATGATCTTATAATTCGTTAATACGTCTTTAAAACTGTATGAGGCAGCATACTGTCTGGTCTCCTATCGGCAGTACACATACGGGCTCATTTCCAGAAAGATCAAGCATAATCTTTCTACTTGATTTCAGCTCCTTCTTGATAGTTCAAGTTCAATCATCAGTCAATTTCTTTGTATAGTTGTTATGTATTTGAAATATTTATATATTTCTTTGTATATGTTCAACAATTGAAAGTGATGGCTTTGAAGACTAGCTTATGGAATTAATGAAAGCTCAGAAATTCTCAGCAAGGCAAAGTAGATCACACCTAACATCCTGACCAGTGAGAGGAACACTGTGCGCCTAACATAACACTCCCAGTTTCTACTCCAGGCATCCATCTGCCTCATTTCAGAGTTTCTCTTCATTCCAAAAGAATGTTGCATCTGCCTGGGTAGCAGTAAAATAAACAACAGAGCTTTTAGTATGTTATTCAATAACCTGAAATTGGTGCCATTTCACTCTAACCTGTGAGACTGTATGAGGCAGTTTGCACATTATGTGAACAAAGGAGACATTCCTTCAGTGAGGGCAGGAAGCTCAGATAAGACCATTAAAACTGTTCCAAGATAAACTGTTCTTTCTTGTGCTGGAATCTGAGACTGTATTGAACAGCACTTAAGTAATAATTCCACCTTCATAAGAACATTCCAAGTCATCATTAAGTAGAGCACTTGAAAATTAATTGTGCTTTTTATCATCATGGGATATGCTCTGGTGTTTTTTCTTACTTTGGCCCTTCTTACGTTCTCAATTTAACAAAGGCAGAAAGCCCACGCTTTTGTACAATTTCCCCTTCTGCATCTCCCATAATCTCAGGCAGTACAAGCTTGGTTTATACTGTAAACATTTCATGAAAGAGCCACTTTAATTTCCAGTCTAATAGCTGCAGGAATAGTTTCCTAAACAGCTGTGCAGATTGGTGGAGAGTTCGGAGGTTACAAACAGGGATAAATGGCTGTGCAGCACAAAGGTGCTATGCATCACAATGGTACTGTACAACTGCATACTGCAGTGTAGAAAACAGCCTGCTTGCCCAGAAACACTTTGCTCACAGTTGGGAATGCAGGCAGGGAGAGAAAATGCTCATGCTGTATTATACCTTAGGGCTCAAGCTCGCAAGCAGTGCAAAATTAGAAAAGCAGCCTTGAGTGAGAGAGTAACAACTCTGCCTTACATTATTTTTACAAGAAACAGGTTTCCCTCTGATTTTTTAAAGCAATACATTTTTTTTCCAAAATCACCTGTTGATTATGTGTGCTTATAGCAAAATAGCCCTGAGCATCTTTTTATTGCTCCTTACTCTGACTTCTAATTCACTAGGCTAGTGTTGATACAGCTCTTGTCTAAAGATTGATTAATACTTTTTCCAGGCTGGCAAAGAAAAGCCAAAACATTATTTTTTTATGTTTTTTTTTTTTCCCCAGGGATATTGGATTCAAACTCTGACAACATATTTTACAAGAATCACAATCCTTGCAAACATTCATGCTAATTAGCTGCCTCCTGACAAGGAACACAGCTGAAATACAAATTCTTTGTTTTGATTAGCCCAGAGGTGGTAATCCTCATCTATATATGACATGTAAGAAGAAAAGCACCTTATTAACCTTCTGGCATGAAGCAGGTATAGGCAGAATTCCACTCTCAGCATCCATTCAAGCAAAGGGAAAAACACTGATTTCAAGACGAATATAGGATCACAGGAAAGTCAATTGCTAGACTCTGGAACATGTTACCCTGCAAACTACATTTTACAGAAATTTCTCCCATAGGTTGCCACTTCCCAGTGCTCATTGTTCTGGACTCTATCTCTTGCACAGAATGTAATCCACTGGCAGATTCTTTAGAAATTATTTCTTACATTTACTTTATCTTTGGAAAATATTTTCATTGACATGAACGGACAAGAAGTTTTTCTTACCCTTAAACACAATCCCACTACCTTGAAATGTTTTTTAAAGTTTAAGATGGAGTAAAACTATTTTTGAGATCCATTTGATTCTATAAGACTTTATATGAAGATATAAAATGTATTTGGCCTGTGGTAACGTTCACAAGACACATGCTAACACACTGGTTAACATCCACAATAATTTTTGCAAAATTTGGTCCTGTCATATTTACTAGTCACCAATTTTTGTATCAGTAGCATTTACTCTGGGTTCACTAGAGTTAATACCAAACTTTGTAAAAATGGAATTAAAATCACGTAAACTATGGTTAAAACATTGCATTCTGGATACATGTTTTGCATATGGATTAGTAGGCAGATACCTTTCATTTGCATTAAGTATGACTTATAATTTACAGAGGTTTACTGTATTAAACTAAAATATAAACTCAAGCAGAAGTTAAATAAGTTCCTTGCCAATATTTGACTAAATAATACTTTTAAAATACCTTTTTCTTCTAAAACAAGTAATGATAGGACTCTGTCTATGACAGTACCAGCTAGAAATGGCTTTTGTCAAGTGTCATTCTGCTCATGCGTGCATGGAATTTGGCCTTGTAACATTGTTTTCACTTCATTAAAAACATGCTGCTCAGGGAAAGCTTTTCACAGGTGCAGAACATAATCTCAGACCCAAAGCCAGATAAAGATGGCAGGAGGTTTTCCATTGATGTAAGAGGTCTTTGGATCGGGTCTCAGGAAGGACTTAGAACCACCAAGGGTCTTTTTCTGTAAATGGGAGTGTTGAGGATTAAACCTTAACTGGCTTTAAAAATAATGAAATAAAATTCTTAATAATTCTGTTCTTTCAGGTTGTTCACAGTGAAGTCACAACAGATGTATTGGGCATTATTAAAAAAAAGGCCCTTGCCCCTCCTCCCTTACACCTATACTTATGGAACATACTTACGCTTTCCTGACAGATGTTTCTTGATTAGTGCATCAGAGGAAAACAAATCACCACCTACAACGGTTCCTGGAGAGGCCTTGAGGAGAAACCCATAATCTATAATTTTTTTAATTATTCATTACTTTCCATATCAATTTCTATGATTTCCCTATTTTTTCCATAATTTGTTCATAATTCTTATTCATGGAGAATAAAAACAGTGATTTACGTCTGCAGTGTCCAGCATACCCAACATTTACAGCTTTTAAATTAAAACTTATTTGTGAAATGCACAGCAGTTAAAATAACAGTGAATTCACTCCATTTTAAAGAATAACCCTGGTATTTAAAAGAAAAGTATACAAATATTTGTAAGAAATGTTTTTGTTTTTTTTTTTTTTTCATTTTTATATCTGTTGTCTGATATCACATCACTTTCATGGCTGAATTATAGATTCAGATCATATAGCCAAAAAAAAAAGTTATATGTTGTTTAGCTATTAAACTCTGAATTCAGCATTCCATAGACAGCATTTCATACAGGGCCATTTTGGTTCTTTTAGCTTCCATCAGTTTATACAAGTAAACTAAATCCCTAAACTCCTAGTTTTACAGGCAAAATGAGTAAGTTGTGATTTTCTACAATGTCTGGATAAAATGCTTTTTGCATGAATTATGTGCTCAAGAAAAATGCCAGACTGAATGGCCTGGAAAAAAATAGTTCTCTACCTGAAAAAAAAAAAAAAGAAAAGAAAAAAGAAAGAAAAAGACTATGGCTTGGTTTTTTTATAATCTGCTTCTGTATTATTTTATTCCTTTCCTTCTTAATATAGAAGTGCTCCAGTATCTAATCTCTTTGGAATAAATTATATTTATAGCTCTTTTAAGATGATCATATGTT